GGAGAGATTGAAGATGTGAGTTAAAGAATGTAGGATAGATTGTGACCGGAGTACCTCCGAGGGAATGGGGCCCAGGGGGGCAGGTGGTCAGGTGGGCCTCCTCTATGAGAACGGGGTTCAACTTCACCAACCTAACATTTTGGGGAGTTTTCCTTTTGTCGAGTTCTGTAAATCACCTTTACAAAGGGGAACCCCGCTGCCAATGAAACGTCACGTCAGTTTAGTCTGTATGGAACACTAGCAAATCCTTGAAATGGAACCTAATGCATGTCGGCGTTCTCCAGCCTTCCCTTCAGTCCTGCGATGGAGACATTAGATTGTAAGCTCACCTGTTACAGGGAAGGATAGTTAATACATATATAGTGCTGTGTGGCTAAACGGTTAGCACTTCCACCTGGCAGCACTGGGGTCGTTGGTTCGAATCCAACCACGGCACCACCTGCCTGGAGTTTGCATGTTCTCCCTGTGCCTGCGTGGGTTTCCTCTGGGTACTCCAGTTTCCTCCCACACTCCAAAGACATGCTGGGAGGTGAATTGGCTCCTGTCTAAATTGTCCCTAGTATGTGTATGTATGAATGTGAGTTAGGGACCTTAGATTGTACGCTCCTCGGGGGCGGGGACTGATGTGAATGTACAATATATATGTAAAGTGCTGTGTACATTGACGGCGCTATATAAGTACCTGAAATAAATAAACCTCAGGCCGTGTGCCCCGGGTCACCCGAGGTGAGCCTTGTTTGCGCACACAGTTGTTCCTTGGTGGATTTGCTCACATTCCTTCTGTCTCCCTCCTCCATTTCTAAAAGTTATCTCTTGTTCAAACATCTTGTGCCTTCCACCCCACCCCCCCCCCCACCATAATCCCCAGCAGGGTTTCCAAAGTATCTGATCTAGGCTGTGCCAGGCTGGGTGACCCCCAGGCACTGCGCAGCTCCTCTCTTGGGTCGGCAATTCAAAGAGCAGCTGGAAGAATTAAAAAAAAGAAAATTCAATGCCAGAAAAAAAAAACACATCCCAGACAGTGACATGGGGCTGGCTGTGCCCGTGGAGGGGGGGAGGGGAGGGTGGCTGCCACCCAACGCTGCCACTGCCCGCTGCTAGCTGCAGATTAATATAATGGAAGGGAACAATGAGCGTCCGGAACTGATCTGTTATGGCGCCGATTTACAGGGAAGTTCTGCGTTTTCATCCCAAACACCAAATGAATCAGAATGCTACAAAATGTGACATAGAGAGACATCAAGAAAGTAAAGAAGGTCTAATGCCACACTAGAATATATATATATATATATTTTTTATACATATATTATATATTAAATAAAAAAATATATATATATTATATATATATATATATATTTTTTTTCTTCATATATATATATATATATATATATATATACATATATACAGTCAGGTCCATAAATATTGGGACATGGACACAATTCTAACATTTTTGGCTCTATACACCACCACAATGGATTTGAAATGAAACAAACAAGATGTGCTTTAACTGCAGACTGTCAGCTTTAATTTGAGGGTATCTACATCCAAATCAGGTGAACGATGTAGGAATCACAACAGTTTGCATATGTGCCTCCCACTTGTTAAGGGACCAAAAGTAATGGGACAGAATAATAATCATAAATCAAACTTTCACTTTTTAATACTTGGTTGCAAATCCTTTGTAGTCAATTACAGCCTGAAGTGTGGAATGGCGCATAGACATCAGCAGACGCTGGGTGTCATCCCTGGTGATGCTCTGCCAGGCCTCTACTGCAACTGTCTTCAGTTCCTGCTTGTTCTTGGGGCATTTTCCCTTCAGTTTTGTCTTCAGCAAGTGAAATGCTCAATCGGATTCAGGTCAGGTGATGGACTTGGCCATTGCAGAACATTCCACTTCTTTGGTTGCTTTTGCAGTCTGCTTTGGGTCATTGTCCATCTGCACTGTGAAGCGTCCAATGAGTTGTGAAGCATTTGGCTGAATATGAGCCGATAATATTCCCGAAACACTTCACAATTCATCCGGCTGCTTCTGTCAGCCGTCACATCATCAATAAATACAAGAGAAGCAGTTCCATTGGCAGCCATACATGCCCACGCCATGACACTACCACCACCATGATCACTGATGAGGTGGTATGCTTAGGATCATGAGCAGTTCCTTTCCTTCTCCATCCTCTTCTCTTCCCATCACTCTGGTACAAGTTGATGTCGGTCTCATCTGGCCATAGGATGTTGTTCCAGAACTGTGAAGGCTTTTTTACATGTCGTTTGGCAAACTCTAATCTGGCCTTCCTGTTTTTGAGGCTCACCAATGGTTTCCATCTTGTGGTGAACCCTCTGTATTCACTCTGGTGAAGTCTTCTCTTGATTGGTGACTTTGACACACATACACCGACCTCCTGGAGGGTGTTCTTGATCTGGCCAACTGTTGTGAAGGGTGTTTTCTTCACCAGGGAAAGAATTCTTCGGTCATCCACCACAGTTGTTTTCCGTGGTCTTCCGGGTCTTTTGGTGTTGCTGAGCTCACCGGTGCGTTCCTTCTTTTTAAGAATGTTCCAAACAGTTGTTTTGGCCATGCCTAATGTTTTTGCTATCTCTCTGATGGGTTTGTTTTGTTTTTTTCAGCCTAATGATGGCTTCACTGATAGTGACAGCTCTTTGGATCTCATCTTGAGAGTTGACAGCAACAGATTCCAAATGCAAATAGCACACTTGAAATGAACTCTGGACCTTTTATCTGCTCATTGTAATTGGGATAATGAGGGAATAACACACACCTGGCCATGGAACAGCTGAGAAGCCAATTGTCCCATTACTTTTGGTCCCTTAACAAGTGGGAGGCACATATGCAAACTGTTGTAATTCCTACACCGTTCACCTGATTTGGATGTAAATACCCTCAAATTAAAGCTGACAGTCTGCAGTTAAAGCACATCTTGTTCGTTTCATTTCAAATCCATTGTGGTGGTGTATAGAGCCACAAATGTTAGAATTGTGTCCATGTCCCAATATTTATGGACCTGACTGTATATATATATATATATATATATATTTTTTTTTTTTATATATATATTTTTATATATATATATGTGTGTAATTTATTTATAATTTTTATATATATATATATATATATATATATATATATATATATATAATTTTTAGCATTATTATTATTATTACCCTAACAAAAAATACATTATTATTATTAATAATAATAATAATAAACACCCTAACCCTAATAATAAATAAATGAGAAGAAGATAAATAAATTATTAACCCCTAACCCCAACCCTTAACCCTAACACCTAACCTTAACTCTAACCCCTTACCTTAACAAAAAAAAAAAAATATCACGAATGATGAATATTAAAACATTTTTAAAAATCTGATGGAAAAGTTAAAAAAAGCTAAAAAACATAGCAACAAATGATGAAACAAGTGATATTTTTCTCTATTGCCTAATAAAAACCCCAAAGCTCTAAAATGCTTTAAAAATGTTGTACAAAAACATGCAGAAATGCGCAATGAGCTGCCCCCCCAAAAAAAAAAACGTTCAAAATTGCGACGTTTAAGTGTAAACATATACTGTCAGTGGTAATATTAGGGTCAGTGTTTTGAGGTAGGTTTAAAAAAAAAAAAAGAAAAAAGATAAAGGAAAATATGCGCTCTGGTTTCTGGACCCTTGTACACGGCCTGATACATGCGTGTATATGCGGTGTCACGGACGTGGGCTCCCTACCATGGTACCCCGTATATGCAGCCTGTGTTTGTGCTGGAAGCTTTTGTGGTGTCACCGTGTCAGGAGTTGGAATTTATTTTGGGTTTTTTTTTATGGTGGGCAGGGGCGGACTGACAACTCATGGGGCCCCTGGGCAATAGGAGATCGTGGGGCCCCTGTGTCCTTGCCCAAACTCAAAAAACACCCACAAAAGCCTATATAAAGGTATCAGGGGAATTTCATGGGGCCCCCTACTGACCCCGGGCCCTCAGGCAGTGCCCGATGTGCTCGAATGGTCAGTCAACCCCTGGTGGTGGGTCATGGTACTGGCAGGAAATACACAACTACATTTACTCTTTTGAGCCCTTTTTTCCTTCGATAGAAAACAATAGGATAATGAGTTCACATGGGCAGCAAGGGGGGGGGGGGGGGGTAAAATCGAATTAAGGGGCAGATAATATATTATTTTAATAACTTTTTTTTTTTAACAGGTCCCTGGCAAATGTATCTGTCAACATAATACAGCTGGAGACCACTGTGAGCAGTGCACCCCGCTGTACAACGACCAACCATGGAGGCCTGGGGACGGGGAAAACAGGAGCACCCAACGAGTGCAAGAGTGAGTACAGAAAAGATGGCCGACATAAAGAGACAATGGGGCTGATTTACTAGAGGCAAATAGACTGTGCACTCTGAAAGGGTAGTTGCTCCAGAGCTTAGTAAATGAGCAAAAGCTCAGCTGACTTCCAACGTCCAATCATGTGCAAGTAAAAATGCTGTTTTTTTTCTTTTCCTTGCATGTGATTGGGTGTCCTTGGCAAAGTGAAGCTTCCCCCCATTTACTGAGCTCTGGAGGAACTGCCGTTGCAGATTGCACAGTCTGTTTGCCTTTAGTAAATCAGCCCCATTGCATGTTTATCGTCATTTAAAGGATCAGTCCACCCAAACATGAGATTTTAGGCCTGGCTGGAGCCTAATAGACTGAGTGAGTCCCGGACTTCTTATTTGTATTGGATGATCCGACATTTATTCCTCTCTGTCCTAATTCCTGCTTCAGCTTCTGTCCACCGGAGAGTTTCAGGGAGTCCCCCTCTAAGTGAGTCCCGGCTCCTACTATTATCAATAAAAACAATTCCGGCAAGGATATTTACTGCCTCATAAAGGGAACAACAAGGGTGCAGATCTGGGAATTCAAGGCAGGGATGGTGGGAACCCCTCATAATGGGCACACTGGGTGTACAGACCTGAGAACTCAGCACATGGATGGTGGGAACCCCTTATAATGGGCACAGCGGGTGTGCACAGACCTGGGAACTCAGCACAGGGATGGTGGGAACCCCTCATAATGGGCACACTGGGTGTACAGACTTGGGAACTCAGCACAAGGATGGTGGGAACCCCTCATAATGGGCACAGCGGGTGAACAGACCTGGGAACTCATCACAGGGATGGTGGGAACACCTTATAATGGGCACAGCGGGTGCACAGACCTGGGAACTAAGCACAGAGATGGTGGGAACCCCTCATAATGGGCACACTGGGTGTGCAGACCTGGGAACTCAGCACAGGGATGGTGGGAACCCCACACATCATAATGAACACACTGGGTGTGCAGACCTGGGAACTCAGCACAGGGGTGGTGGGAACTCCTCATAATGGGCACAGCGGGTGTACAGACCCGGGAACTCAGCACAGTGATGGTGGGAACTCCTCATAATGGGCGCAGCGGGTGTGTACAGACCTGGGAACTCAGCACAGGGATGGTGGGAACTCCTCATAATGGGCACGGGGGGTACAGACCTGGAAACTCAGCACAGGGATGGTGGGAACCCCCTCATAATGGGCACGGGGGGGGGGGTACAGACCCGGGAACTCATTACAGGGATGGTGGGAACTCCTCATAATGGGCACGGGGGGGGGTACAGACCCGGAAAAAAGCACACAGGATGGTGGGAACTCCTCATAATGGGCACAGCGGGTGTACAGACCTGGGAACTCAGCACAGGGATGGTGGGAACCCCTCATAATGGGCACAGCGGGTGTACAGACCCGGGAACTCAGCACAGGGATGGTGGGAACTCCTCATAATGGGCACAGCGGGTGTACAGACCCAGGAACTCAGCACAGGGATGGTGGGGAACCCCTCATAATGGGCACAGCAGTGTACAGACCCGGGAACTCAGCACAGGGATGGTGGGAACCCCTCATAATGGGCACAGCGGGTGTACAGACCCGGGAACTCAGCACAGGGATGGTGGCAACCCCTCATAATGGGCACAGCGGTGTACAGATCCGGGAACTCAGCACAGGGATGGTGGGAACCCCTCATAATGGGCATAGCGGGTGTACAGACCCGGGAACTCAGCACAGGGATGGTGGGAACCCCTCATAATGGGCACAGCGGGTGTACAGACCTGATGTGAATGTACAATATATATGTAAAGCGCAGAGTAAATTGACGGTGCTATATAAGTACCTGAAATAAATAAATTTATTGAATTAAAAAAACAACACCGCATGTAATTATGTCACATTCTGGAACTTTCTGTGCTTTTAGCTGCCATAATTTATGTTGGTGACAGGTTCTCTTTAAGCTACAGTTTTCCTCTGTCGCTCATCACTCGCAGGGTGTCGCTGTCACAATCACGCCCTCAACTGCCACTTTGATCACAACCTGTGGCTTGCTTCAGGAAATAAGAGCGGAGGGGTCTGCGAGAAACTGCCAGCACCACACCGAGGGGTACCGTTGCCAGCGCTGCCAAGCTGGCTACTACCGAGATTACCGAGAGCCCATCAGCTCCCCACTGGCCTGTAAAGGTAAGGGGTGGCCTGGACGTGTATTGGATAGGTGGAGAGGCTGCAGAGCCCCCCGCACTGCAGCAAGGAACACTCCAAGGGGACGGCGGAGACACTGAATACCGGAGCCTTCTATGATGTGTTTTAATGTGCATGGAAACCCAAACCCAAGAAATTATTATTATTATACAGTATTTATATAGCGCCAAAGGGTATGCTCAGCGCTGTACAGTAGCAGGGGGGACAGAACATGAGACAAGACAGTAACAATACAATACACGAGGGGTTCGAGGGCCCTGATCCTGGGAGCTTACAATCTAGGAGGGAGGGGAAGGTGGTACAGGAGGAGATGGCTGTGGGGGATGGAGTGGCGGGAGGAGTGGAGGAGGTTAGTTGTTAGGTGAGGTCAGGTGTTAGGTGAGGGTGGGGTAGGCTTCCCTGAAGAGGAGGGTTTTCAGGGTGAAGGTGAGGAGGGTAGGCGACAGTCTGATGGATTGGGGTAGGGAGTTCCAGAGGATGGGGGAAGTCCCGGAGAAGTCCTGCAATCGGGCGTGGGAGGAGGAGACCAGGGAGCTAGAGAGTAGGAGGTCCTGTGAGGAGCGGAGGGCACGGGTAGGGTGGTATTTGGATATCAGGTCAGTTATGTAGTTCGGGGCGGCATTGTGAATGGCTTTGTAGGTCAGAGTTAGCAGTTTGAATTTGATGCGTTGGGCAATCGGGAGCCAATGAAGGGATTGGCAGAGGGGGGTGGCAGATGTGGAGCGGTTGGTGAGGTGGACGAGTCTGGCCGCTGAGTTCAGGATAGACTGGAGGGGGGATAGCGCTCTTTTGGGTAGGCCGGTGAGGAGGGAGTTTGCAGTAGTCCAGGCGTGAGATGATGAGGGGGTGTACGAGTAGTTTGGTGGTGTCTGGGGGGTGAGGAACGAACGTATCTTGGAGATGTTGCAGAGCACCAGTCCTTAGGCCCCCCCATTCACACCTGAGCGATTTGCAGCTCGAAGTTCCAAAACGCTTGAGGAGAAAAAAAAAAATCAGTTGTTCTCAATGGAGATGGTTCACATCTCCCCTCCAAGTCACCTGAAGATCAAACAAGTTCTGGAGCTTTTTTATGTCTCCCAAATCTGATAGATTTGTGCCTTTTTGAACATTTTTAATCCCATAGAAATGAATGGAAACACGCAGTCTGTGCGTTTGTGAGCATTTCCGCATGTTTTGGTGCACGTTTTGGGAGTGTATTTCTGCTCAAATTAAACAATTGAGTCCTGTCCGTGATACTTTTTTTTATTTGCACTAACATACAATTTTGAGGACAAGCTTTCAGGGTATGTCCCCTTCTGCAGGGTCCAGGCAGTACTGATCACAAAGTTTCAGCAGATAAAGATAAAAAAAAAGTATCACGTCAGTACTCAATTGTTTCTGTCGCAAGTGCGCTAATACGGCTACAATCACCTCAATGCTCAAATAAAAAAAAAAAAAACGGAAAAAAAAACATGAATAAATACTTATTAAATAAACAAAACACATACACAAATAAATAAGAGTAATCATACATAAATAAAAATAAATACCTGATATGTAAAAATACGTAATTATTAATTAACCCCTAACCCTAAAAATAAACAAATAAATAATAATAATAAAACAATACATAAAGTAACACCCTACCCCCCGAAAAATACAATTATTATTATTAATAATTAAAGTATTATAATATATAATAATTATTATTATTAATAATAATGTATTATTATAAATATTATTATTAATAATAATGTATTTATTATAAATATTATTATTAATAATAAATAATGTATTATTATAAATAATAATAATGATAATAATTTATAATAATAATGTGTGTGGGGGGGGGGGGGGGAGTAGATATGCTTTAAAGAAAGTGTATAAAGAAAAACAGCATTGAAGTGGAGAGGGAGCCATTATATAAGTTTCCATGCAAGTTAAATAAACAAAATACATACACAAATAAATAAGAGTAATCATACATAAATAAAAATAAATAAACTATGTAAAAATACATAATTATTAATTAACCCCTAACCTTAACCTCCCTAACCCTAAAAATAAACAAAATAAAGAATAATAATAAAATAATACATAAACTAACACCCTACCCCCCCCCCCAAAAGTACAATTATTATTATTAATAATAATAAATATAATAATAATAATGTATTATAATAATTATTATTTATAATACATTATTATTATAATTATTATTATTAATAATAATGTATTATAATAATAATTATTATTATTAATAATGTATTATAATAATAATTATTATTATAAATAATTATAATGATGATAATAAAAATAATGTGTGTGTGTGTGTGTGGGGGGGGGGGGGAGTAGATATGCTCTTATTATATAATTTTCCAAGCAAGTTAAGAATATAATATCTTAAAAATAAATACAAATGTAGAATAATGATTTTTGTAATATTGTATACACATGCAGAAAATGATTTGCACCATCCAAAGGACAGGAAAGCAACACTCCCCTGGGGTCAGCATGCTGTAAGAAGTCTGAGCAGTGACAGTGCAATCATGATGTGTGGTCCTGGAAGGAAAGCCAGGAAATTGTACTCAGGGGTGTCCATCCAAATCTGATATCTTGTTTTTGGAGAAAAGAAAATGTTTATTTTTGTGCCAGTGGAGATAGTAAAATGAGTGTGTTAGGGGGTTGGGAGAGGGGCAAAGAGAGAGAGCGAAAGATGGGAAGAGAAGGTATATGGAGGGAACGAGAGAGGAAGAGAAGGTATATGGAAGGAAGGAGAGAGAGGAAGAGAAGGGTATATGGAAGGAAGGAACGAGAGAGGAAGAGAAGGTATATGGAAGGAACGAGAGAGGAAGAGAAGGTATATGGAGGGAACGAGAGAGGAAGAGAAGGTATATGGAGGGAAGGAGAGAGAGGAAGAGAAGGTATATGGAGGGAAGGAGAGAGAGGAAGAGAAGGTATATGGAAGGAACGAGAGAGAGGAAGAGAAGGTATATGGAGGGAAGGAGAGAGAGGAAGAGAAGGAAGAACAAGAGGGAAAGAGAGCAAGAGAAGGAATATGAAAAAAACGAGAGAGAGGAAGAGAAGGTAAATAAAAGGAATAGAAGAGAGAAAGAAAAAAGAAGGTATATTTAAGGAAAAGGAGATATGAGAAGGATATGGAAAAGTATATGGACAGAATGAGGGAATAGATGGTATATAAGGAAGATTTAGGGAAAGAAAAGAGAAAAGAAGAGGTGTGTGTGGGGGGGGGGGGGGGGGGGGGGGGGGGGTTGGGGGGGGGGAGTAAATATATTGAAGGAATGGGAGAGAAAGAGAAATTAAAAAAGAAGGAGATTGATAAAAGAGAAAGTAGAAAGAGCAAGATAGACAGAGAGGTGTGAAGGGAAAAAAAGAGAGCAAAGAACAGGGAGGGAAGGAAGGAAGGAAGGAAGGAAGGAAGGAAGGAAGGAAGGAAGGAAGGTTAAAAATGAATTTGAGAAGTAAAGATGTCAGAAACTGAGAGTGGGAAAGAGAGAAAAAAGTAGAATGAAAGGAGAAAGACAAACATTTGGAAAAGACAGGGAAAGAGAAAAAGAGGAAATGATAAAACGGAGATGAAAAACAATAAGGGAAATAGGAATAGAGAGATATTTAAAGAGTGCGTGATGCGATGCGATGCGATGCGATGCATTGGTGAGCAATTTAGCTCACGTCTCTGCCAGGAAAGCGGCTCAGAAAAGAAAGCCCCCCCCCCCCCCCAAACTTTGTGTGCCATCTCCCGGCCCCTCAGACACAAAAGGAGAAGGGGGGATAAAAGTCCGCCAGCCCGCCTGACACACCTGCCCTTCAGCTAGGGCAGAGCACCAGATTCCTGGGTTCTGATACGGTGTGATATGATTCATCTGGAACTGGGATTTTCGCTCATAGTCGGGCATGACTCCTCGCGGGGGCCGTAATGCCAGCCCTTTGTTCCCTTAAGCCTCTGTCTCCTTCTGTGGTACATCTGTGGCATTAGCTATGCTCATTCAATTAAATCTTGGCTCTTTTTTTTTTGAAGCCCCAATAATCCGAGCTTGTGTACGCGGGACACAGCTGTGAGCGAGGCGAGGAGGGCGCTGTCTATTGTAGCTTCATCCTGGGCCTGGGGTAAAGGGGAGCTCTGCCCAAAAAAGGCCCTATACTGTACACAGTCAGAACACATAGTATATGGAGCACGGGTGTCAAACTGGCGGCCCTTCCAGCTGTTGCCAAACTACAAGAGGCATTGCATGATTGACAGTTACAAGCATGACTCAGAAAGGCAGAGGCATGATGGGACTTGTAGTTTTGCGACAGCTGGAGGGTCGCCACTGA